GTTAGAAAAAATACAAAAGACTAACATTCGAAGTTATTGAAATTCTTGAGTAAGAACAATCAGTTTTGGAATGTTAAAAGCAAAGCAATGGATATGAAAACGAAAATGTTAAAATTAAATGTTGAAATTGTTAAAATGTAAAATGGTTAAAATGGTTAAAATTGTTGAAATTGTTAAAAATGTTAAAATTGTTAAAAATTGTAAAAAGGGTAATTAAAAATATCCAGTGTACCGGGGTTCGAACTCGTAATGTCTGGACTTGCAGCCCTGCGCGTTACCAACCGAGCTATCTGGACACGTTTCCATTACTCTCTGCATTGTATGTCATATAAAGTGAACAACATGGCGGTAACGATCGCTTCAAGTACTAGTAAGGGACTTTCTAGGAGATTTCCTTCTTTATCAGGTTCGCTTTTGAACCACCGGTACCTTGATGTAACGTAACTATCAATCCGGCTAGCAGAAGCCGCCGCTCCCTGTCCAATCTTTGAAAACTGTCGGGGCGTGCGCCGACGATACACATTACGTACCGTTGTTTACAGTACTCGCAGGGCGCAGGTCATTGACCTCCCGCTTGCGTTGTTCCAACAGAGAAGAGCAAAAATATCTGCCAGTTTTTGCGTCAGATTTTCAGTGTTTGTTAAAATCATATACAGGCATCCATGCAGCTATAATTCTTCCAACTAGTTCGTAGTTAGGTGAAATGTTTATAGGAATCACACGAATCGGTATCCAATATCAGAGTATCATGGCCCACGGCCGAGACCGCGTGGACCAGCCGCGCTGGTAATCCCCCTATTGTACGTGAAAATGGTAGTAAATAAATTAATTAGCCAACAGCCAATCAACAGCCACATCTGCAAACATGACCACACCTGCTTGTATGCCCATATTTGGGCCTTCCCCCGAATTCCTTTCTTATTACGTCACGCGCGTACGCCCCCACAGTACTTTCCTATGGGGACCACTAAAAAGCAAATAAAACAATTGTAAAAACTTGTATCAAAAAAATTTAAAAAACGCCTAAGGGTATTTACCCACTCTACCTCTATACGAAATTACAGATAATTTCGCCCAAAAATGAAGGAGTTGAATCAATTTAAAGAAGTGCCAGGAGAAGAAGAAGAAGAAGAAGAAGGAGAAGAAACATCAGAAAAAGCAATATGGGTTCACCACCACTTCGTGGTGTGGTGAACCCATAATTAGTACACATAGAACTACTGATAACTACTACGAACTACTAGTAAAACTACTGGATTTTACTTCTTTTTTGAAGACAGAAGAAGACAAAGGATCCCACTTTTTCTGTAATTTGTGGGCTTTCGGATGTTAAGAGGAGAGCAGTTTTCTTTTCATTTGTATATGTGTGAAAGTTTGGGTAGAATTTGGAGGCTACGTATACAAAGAGTTCATTTCGTTCCTTGCTATAGAGGGTACAATTTGAGATAAAATGCGTTTCGTCTTCCACCGTATTCAACGTACAATGTTTCAAAATTCGTTCATACACTTGAAGCTTATCTATGATATAATCTCTAATATATCTCTTATTTCCAGAGCTTCCTGGTGGACCACCCTCTGGTGTGTGAGCTGGTCGGTGTGGTTTGTGTCACCAGCTGCATCTGTTCCCTGGTCAGCGTTACCAACGTCGGCATCAACCGGTCAGTACAATCTGTAATCATGTGTTCAACTCGCTACTGTTTTTTTTTTCACGAATGGAGTTCCTAATAAACATAAACATGTGGAATGTAAAACGTACATTTTGCAATGAAATAAACAAACAGACGATGTTCAAATGGTCCCGTCTATAACTTCTTGGTGGGGAAGAATTTTTTTGGGGGCTGAAATCTTTTGTGTTTTGAGCTCGAATTCGATTTATAAAGGAAACTGTACCATGCCCTTGGTTTACTTTCCAGAATAGGATATGCAGGATATGCTGGTGTGTAACGCCGACGGGCGGTTATACCGGCTATATCGATACAGCTGTACTTATACAATTTACAGTTTTACGGAGAAGTACAGCACATACGCAAGAATAGCGAAACAGACACTGGTCTTGAATAGCAAAGTTCTTTGATCACAATTCACAACCATTTATTTTTCACGAGCCGACGTTTCGATGACCATCTGTCATCTTCATCAGGACAATTCTACTTGATTTGATGTGCACTGACGCTAGATGTTACTTCACTAAGGGCACTAAGGGTGTTACATAGTGTTACATGTGAACTTTGTAACACCCTTAGTGCACTATGCACCAAGTAACATCTAGCGTGCACAGTACACTAGCCAGAATTGCTCCGATGAAGATGACAGACGGTCATCGAAACGTCATCGGCTCGTGAAAAATAAATGGTTGTGCCCAAAGAACTTTGCTATTCATTCGTTTACCAACCTGATGAACTTAATTACGAATGAAAAACGGGTCTTCTGCATGAGACATTTCCTATTAACCCATGCACGGTGCGTCATAGCCATGATTTAGGCCACACCGACTTTTATTGATATCCTCTGAAGACCCCTCAAACTAGTGCGCACGGGCGAATGAAAAAAAAATATAAACATAAAAATGCTACTTAACCACGGGACTACAAAGCTAGTATTGTGAATTTGCGGCAGTACATACATGTAGCTACGTATATGACAAGCCGGTACATGCATGTCTCTGGACCAAGAGGTTGGGAGTTCGAATCCAGGCTGTTGTTGCTCACCCGACATCCACGCTACAGGAAAGGGTCGCAGCCCTTAGCTGTGGTCAACTGTTCATTGTCGAGATAGGTGGATTCCCCTGGTGCAATGAAGCTCTACATGTAATTTGCATGGCGTCTGTCTTCGGTCAATACGAATTTTCCTCGCTATTCCTTACTGTCGCACGGAAGCCAGATCCCAAAGAACTGTTGATCTGGCTAAGTGTAGAGGTGATTTTACATGGCCAATCCCGTGTGTACATTCAATCAATCGATCAATCAAACCGCAAGCATCAGGGAAGATGCATGGCAGCTGCAGACATGTCCCTCCAGGATGTCCTGTTTTTTGCCAGCGCTCTCCAGTCAGTTCTGCTGAACCCTAAACTGTCCAGTACGTTACAAAACTTGATCCTTCCATCTGCTCCTGGGACGGCCTCTAGGGCGCGTACATGAGCTACAAAATGAATGATTTACGTGAAGTTTCATCTTCCGAATCTTTTTGTCTCAGCGAGATCATCCCAATCAGCGGGAATACATCAAGGAAGAGAGACAAGAAAAGCCCGGCATAAAACACGCCACGAGTCCACAAAGTACACCGATGACAGGCATTCTAGTCCATATAAGCAAGATGTATGAACATCATTGTGACTGGATTAACTACTAGTACAACTGCAACTGGAGTTTCAAGGAGGGTAGAAGCCGTTGGGAAAGCCACGTGTCATCGAATATGAATGTTCGAGTTACCAGCTCGTAAAATGCAATTTTCAAAGTGCCCATCTCGCAGTAAGTGGAACGTGAAAAGATATACACGTGGGAGACTGGGATTATTGATTATATAGGCAAAACAACGGGGTGCACCTTTCTTTTGATGGGGGTCTATTGAAGACAACCTTATGCCCCTCCATCCCAAAAATGCGCCAGAAATTAAGAGAATGACTGTCATGGACGATAAAGAAAATTAATTGCCTCCTTACCAAGAGCACCTGATGATATATTATCCACTGCCTTCAAAGAAGAATTCAAACCCCATAATAGCTAGCGTAGTAGTAGAAGTAGAAGATTTTCCAGACAGTTGTTGCCTGTCGTCTATTACAGTATTGCAATGAGTATTATACTTGATTGTAAAAGCAATTAGCCATCGGGCATGATTTTGCAAATAAAGTTTCTATATTATTGCGATGCCAAAATGTAGTTCTCTTCTATCGGGCTTTGTTTGATCATTTCAGACCTGATTAGCTCTATACGGGTAACACTAAGACAGGAAGCTTGCAAATAACAAGTCTATATAGATACATTTCAAGCTTCTTAGGGATATGGCAGACTGGATTAAATCATTGTCTATCACTAGAAGCTGATCATCAGTGGGATCGTCTTATGAGACATCAAAGTGTAAAGATATAAACCATATATGCCTAATGCAAAGCAAAGGACGTCGTTATCTTCGTTGCGTTAATTTCAAAGCCTGCTACAGGACGTGCATTCGCTCCAAAAGCTACTATCAAAGGAATATTGCCCGTTTACTGCGAAGGCAATTAGCCAGTAAATTTCCAGGCCACTAGTACTGCACGACTTAATATCTCATTAGCGCAAGCACGACGTTAGCAGTTGGGCCTCATGAAACTAGGCAATTAAATGGAGCTTCTCTGGCCGGCTACATTCTCTCCCCAATCAATACCCTTTTTAGGCGATTTCTACGATTTATTCAGCCCGCAAAAGAAGTCTGGTGGAGACTATCATTGAACCTCCGCAGTGATATTGTAACTGTCTAGTATGTACATGTAAATATAGGCTCGTGGTCGCTGATTATTACAAATGGTACAAAGGTGACATTTGATTTGAAATAAGAAGCAGCGAGAACGCTGCTAAACCAGATGCGGGCAAGCGACCATCCCCTGCACTACATGATCACCAGTGACAGGAAGGAAGTAACGGAAAGGACACTCAGAAATCATAACCATCACTCTGCGCCAAAATGTTGAACTGAGAGACTGAGGCGATCTTTTCTATACCAGTCAACATTGCTATATAATAAATCTCTAAAATGACTTTACCGGTAATTTGTAACTATGTATGCATATTTATAATTTAACACAAAAATTGAATATTTGTAAATAATATGTAACTGAATGTCAATGTATATGAATGTTTTTTAATCTAATGTTTTTTTGATATTGTGATATTATTGTACAATGTATTTGTAGATTAGCAATAATTCAGACTTTTGCAAATTCTGTCAATGCAAAGGTTTCATATGTCTTATGTCTAAGGTGGATGGGTGTACATAAAACATTTCCTCTCAAGCAACAAAATAATGAATAAATGATCAATCAACCCATCTAACTGAGAGTCTTAGAGATTTTTGAGCTCTCTTGTATACCCACAGCCTGTTGTTTGTGGTGAAACCCGACTGGCACGCCAGTGTCTACACCGTGCCGAAGACCCTGGTCATCGTGGCCGCATCCTGGGTGTACAGCTTCCTGTTCGACCTGCCGCTGCTGCTCGGCTGGGGGAAGCACTCCTACGACATCAAGACCATGGGCTGTACCTACGACCGGACCGACACCTTCAGGTAAGGTTTGATACGCCATGGGCTACATGGATCAATGGTAGGACCCTGTAAAACCTTCTGGTAAGGTTTGATACGACATGAGCTGCATGGATCAATGACAGGACCCTGTGACACCTTCAGGTAAGGTTTGATACGACATGGGCTGCATGGATCAATGGAAGAACCCTGTGACACCTTCAGGTAAGGTTTGATACGACATGGGCTGCATGGATCAATGACAGGACCCTGTGACACCTTCAGGTAAGGTTTGATATGACATGGGCTGCATGGATCAATGGAAGGACCCTGTGACACCTTCAGGTAAGGTTTGATACGACATGGGCTGCATGGATCAATGACAGGACCCTGTGACACCTTCAGGTAAGGTTTGATACGACATGGGCTGCAAGGATCAATGACAGGACCCTGTGACACCTTCAGGTAAGGTTTGGATATGACATGGGCTGCATGGATCAATGGA